AAAGTTATTTAACAAAGTTTAACTAAGCCAGTCATTTTGAAATAAAATAAAATCACAATCTCAAGCACACTAATCCAGAATGTATTATTGCTATTTTGGTTTATAGATATATGATTCACGTGCCATAAGGCGCGGGCCCCCACCTCAGTCTCTTTGTCTCTCTGACTCACCCCTTATATCCAGCAGCTCCAATCCCAGCTTCAGGAAGGTTCAAATGATATGGAGTTAAACTTTGTTAAATAACTTTGTTATTTAAGACAGAACAACAAAAAGGTTGATGATAATAGTAACATTTTTTTAAAAAATCCCACAAAGAATGGAGCTAGTTGAAAAAACCTCCTTAAAATTAAAGTAGACTAAAAATATATTTAACCAAGGTAATTTGATATATGAAGCTAACTTCTTCAGGAAAAGAATTTGACAGGGTTCAATAAAAGGAAGTATTAGAGTTTTTTATGGGACATATTGAAGTGTTCTTAAAGCAGATTTTAAATAATGGTGCAAATTAAGAAAATTTAATCATTTTCATCAAAGAACAACTAAAAGTAAATCCAGACTTAATCATTTGAGAGTCTTGTTTATTGAAAAAAGTTGGAGACTAATTATAATTATGTGTGATGATACATAGAAATACTTTTTTCAAAGTTGTTACCACACCTTCCTTAGAATTTCTCTCCCCCATCAAAAGGAGAGCCAATTATATCTAGTCATTTCTATTTACCAGGAATATAAAAGCACAAATAAATTGCTGCTTTAGGTCAACTGATCATAATCATGAGTTCAACAGAGTAAAACTGGAACTCAGCTTCTTCACCTGGCACGCTAGACCTATCTACCAATTATGCATTCAAAAATATTAAAACCATAGAGACAGACTGGATCTCTCATTTAAGAAATGTATCAATGAGTACTGTAAAAAATAAAATGGAGAAATATAACCTACATTTGTATCAGCATGAATTTGGAAGTTTATATTCACTGTAGGCTTTATATTCATTTAAACATTTGGAAACATTGTAAATTATAAAGAATACAAGCTTTTTCAGTAAAGTTCATAGAATTAAGGTATTTTATGCTATGTCTTAAATATTAATTTTAAAAGAAATTTAATCTATTGAGAATTTTACTAAATTTCAGTGTTGAATTATATGTATCAACTGATTATACATCAATTTCACACAGTTCTTGAATCAAATTTATAACTTTGCAAAATAAATGCTTACATATATTAGAAACCTTTTTATTGATCCGGGTGAGATGTAAGACCCAAATAATTTAATCCTCACAATTCAAAAACAAGTCTGGTTCATAATTCAAAGGTTTATTGCAGAAAAATGAAAAGCGATTACAAGTGTGGCCTCCAAGTCCCTTCCCAAATGAATTGAATACAAGGAGAGCAAAAAAACAGTTTTCAAGCTATACAATTTATACCCCCTAAACATTGCACGCCACGCCTAAGAAGAAGCCCTCCCCATCTCCCAAGTGATTCTTTTAAGTCATTTTACACTACAAAGGGTCAGCATGACCCTTCCTGCAGAACCCCAGTTATCTTATCTTTGTTTCCTTACAGTTTCGCCCTAGGCGGCGGATGTTCCTATCTAACCAAATGGTGGCCCTGTCTCAGACTTATGTTCCTGTTTTTCAGAGTAGTTTTAGCAAGTCAATGTGTATTGTCTTTACTGATTACATTTTGTAGTTAATTTGCAACAGGAAGAATTTTATAGCTTATTGATACATTAAACACTTTTATAAAAGTGTAACTTATTATTTATTTCCTTCAATCCTGTTAGTACTGTAAGTAAATAGTTCAGTGGTTATGATTTGAAATGCTTTATAATAATTCCCTGTTGCATAATTACCTATTTTTTGTTTCAATCAGCATATATTTCAATGGACATGTTTATTAAAACATTATATATTAAATCCTGTGAAATCAGTACATTCTTCTTATTTTATTGAAGAATTGACCCATTTTTTATCATGAAAAGATGGCCTTGCCTTTTACAATCTTTCTTCATTTTCTTTCCTGGTGACTTCTTGAAACTTTGGATTTTTAAAAACGTTAAGATATTACTTCAATAATTATGGGAAACCCTATATAGCTTCCTGTTAGCATGAAACCATATGTTGTGTAGTATAAAATGATTGACACATCTGAGAAGTGTGCCTGATTTGATTCAGTACACATCTGGATTTGCCCAGTATTTTTGTCTGCCTTTATGGTTTATAAAGGTGTACCTATAGATTGCACTTATAAAAGTGAGACTATGTTTTCCACTCCAGGGTAGTACATGCTGCCATATGGAATTATTTTAAATAATTTTATGATTCATTAGAGTTGTTGCTTGAAGATTGAGAATATGCTTCATATCACACAAATCTAAGTCAGATGATGAATCATTACAAACAAATGAATAGCATCCAAAGATAGTTGCCACAAAATTTAAAATAATTTACATCTAATATACATTAATCTTGGTTGTTTTTTCAGGAATGGGATGGAATCACTTTTTTAAAAAAATATTCAGAGTAGTATTCTATTGTATAACTCAATTGTTAGCAGATGAATTTTAGATAGATGAGAAATGTATGTTGGATGATAGTATGGAAAAACTTTTGAAATTCTTTCCCATGATGTCTTTTTCTTAGGGCATGTACATTAAATCTACATATGATGGTCTCCATGTAATTACTGGAACAACAGAAAATGTAAGTATTGATAATACTTTTTGCTGAGGTGTGGGGTGTTTTTAAATTTAACTTTAGATTAAATTATCCCTGTGATTACCTATCTTAATTGCAAAGGATTAAGAATATGTTATATCGCTTATGCATCCATAGCTCACCCCATGGGCACTCTACTAAAATAATGTATATAATAGCCACTTAAATATATAGTGCAGCAATTGGATTTTCAGAAACTCTCTAGCTCTCATCTAAATTCACTTGTGCAGTTCAAATAGTAATACAAAACAGGTTGGTTTGACATTAATTTACACATAAAACATTACAGATTGTTCCTTCACTGCCATACCACACATTTGGAAATAACGATCTTTAATTTATAAGGGCTTACTGTGTCATGCAAATGTAGCACACTGGAAACTTCCAGTGGGAATAAACAATGGAGAAGTCTCTGTTGTTAGTTGCGAAATCACGTCTGACCCTTTGCGACCCCATGGATAACGTTCCTGTCCTGTACCATCCTCTGGAGTCATTTAAACTCATACCTACTGCTTCGGTAAATCCATTCAACCACCACCTCCTCCTCCCCAAAATAAGTCGTCCCCTTCTTCTTTTGCCATCAATCTTTCCCAACATTAGGCTCTTCTCCAATGAGTCCTTCCGTCTCATTTGGTGGCCAAAGTATTTGAGTTTCGTCTTCAGGATGTGGCCTTCTAAAGAGCAGTCAGGGTTGATCTCTCCTAGAACTGACCGGTTTGATAGCCTTGCAATCCAAGGTACTTGCAGGAGTCTTTTCCAGTACCATGGTTCAAAGGCCTCAATTCTTTGACACTCAGTCTTTCTTAAGGTCCAACTTTCACAGCCATACATTGCAAATGAGAAAACCATAGCCTTGACTATATGTTCTTTTGTTGGCAGGGTGATGTCTCTGCTTTTTAATAAGCTGTGTAGATTTGCCATAGCTTTCCTCCCCAGGAGCAAGCATCTTTTAATTTCTTGGCTGCAGTCCCCATCTGCGGTGATCTTGGAGCCCAGGAAAATAAAATCTGTCACTACCTCCATTTCTTCCCCATCTATTTGCCAGGAATTGAGAGGACCAGATGCCATGATCTTAATTTTCTTAATGTTGAGTTTCAAGCCAACTTTTGCACAGTCCTTCTTCACCTGTATCAAGAGGATCTTTAGTTCCTCTTCACTGAGCCACAGTCAGCTCTTGGTCTTGTTTTTACTGACTGTATAGAGCTTCTCCATCTTTGGCTGCAGAGCACATAGTCAATCTGATTTTTTTGTTGACCGTCTGGTGATGTCCATGTGTAGAGTCATCTCTAGGGTTGTTGGAAAACAGTGTTTGCTATGGCCATCATATTCTCTTGACAAAATTTTATCAGCCTGTGCCTTGCTTCATTTTGTACTCCAAGGCCAAACTTGCTTGTTATTCTGGTTATCTTTTGGCTTCCTATTTTAGCATTCCAATCCCCCATGATGATAAGGACATCATTTGTTGGTGTTAATTCTATAAGGTGCTATAGGGTTTCAAAAACCGGTCAAGTTCATCCTCTTCAGCACCAGTGGTTGGGGCATAGACTTGGATTGCTGTGGTGTTGAATGGTTTGTCTTGCTTTCGAACTGAGATCATTCTGTCATTTTGGGGATTATATCCCAGTATTGCTTTTCCTATTCTTTTATTGACTATGAAGGCTACTCCATTTCTTCTGAGGGATTCTTGCCCCCCGTAATATACCTGATGGTCACCTGAAGTAAATTCTATACCTGGTGGTCACCTGAATTAAATTCACATTCCTGTCCATTTTAGTTTGCTGATTCCTAAGATGTCAATGTTCAGTCTTGTCATCTCTTGTTTGACCACTTCCAGCTTGCCTTGGTTCATGGATCTTACATTCCAGGTTCCTAAGGAGTATAGAGCTTTACAGCATTGGACTTTCCTTTCACCACCAGATACATCCACAGCTGAGCATCCTTTCAGTTTTGGCCCAGCCACTTCACTCTTTCTGGCACTACTAGTACTAGCCCTCTGCTCTTCCCCAGTAGCATATTGGACACCTTCCAACCTGAGGGGCTCATCTTCCAGCATCATATCTTTTTGCCTTTTGGTAGTGTCCATGGGGTTTTCATGGCAAAGATACTGGAGTGGGTTGCCATTTCCTTCTCCAGTGGATCACATTTTGTCATAGCTCTCTGCTATGACCTCTCCGTCTTGGGTAGCCCTGCACGGCATAGCTCATAGCTTCATTAAGCTATGCAAGGCCCTTCGCCACAACAAGGCAGTAATCCATGAAGGGGAAGGGGTCTCTATCTTAAGTTAAATTTATGACAATGTCCTTTTCCACAAGTTACTTTTGCACTAAATTCACACAGTACATAGTAAATCCTATGACTAGCTGACCAATCCACAGACTTGAAGGGATAAGTGGGTCATTGCACATAGGTATGTGCACTGATAAATCTGGCTTATGATATGATATGATATGATATGGACATTGCCTTCTTAAAAGAAAGATCAGGCTTTTCAATTCTGATAAAGACCTAACATCTCTAAATATAAATTATTTTAACAATCAACTTAGAAGTCAGCATATGGTTTATTTTGTTATATAACGTTTATATATTTATTTCCAACTTACCAAAACTAGAAGGATCTCCATCCCTGTACAATTGAACACATGGATGAATTTAACTGAATGTATGTAAGCCAGAGGTAAAGCTTGCTGCTACAGTTGTCTCACCTTTTCATATTACTTGAATCCTCATGAGTAGTTGAGAGGGCTACTAATGCTTCATTTGTAGGTCAGCACGTGAATGCCCAATAGTTTTCTTTTCTGTTGGTTTATATTACTTGGTTAACATTTCTCTTAAGGTGGAAATGATATCAGATCAAGTTATCTGGGTTGCTCCTTCAAACACATTACATGAGTGATCCAATGGGTGTCACACCTAATTTCTCAACCAGGGCAGGGTTAACCAGACATCTGGTGCACCCCAAGTACAAGAGGGCTACTATGCTCCACTTGGATTGAATCACCAGTTCTATAGGGATGGTCACTGGATTGACTGGATGACTTACCGGGGGATCATTTTTGTAGTTTGATATGTTTTCCACTGTACTGTCCACCAGGCTGGTTGGAGTTCTCTCACCATCCTTGGGAGATGTGTTGGACTCTATGACTTATATTCCTTTCAGGGCTGTGCCATGGGTTCTCTATGGCAGTTTTGCCAATTTTTTTGGCAGGACTAGGAGTTGCGATCTGGGTTGGGCATGCAGCTCAGCAGTCAGCAGTTCAGTGCCCCTCCTTCCTGCACCTAAAGCAGCCAGCAGAGCATCAGTGTGAGCTTGCTAATGTAACAGCTGTTACTGAGCCTCCTTCTTTTCAGGGTAGAATCTTCACCATCCACAGCTTGGCCGATATTTGGATCAAGCCAGGTCAAGCAAGGACATACCAACTCTGGAAGGGGGGGTCTCCCCTGGAGACAGAGGTGTTGTAGACCTTCTCACTTAATCTGTCTCGGAAGCATCTGATCAAGGTGTCTTCTGGCCAGTCGGACCATTAGGGTCTTGGTGGGTCATCCTCTTCCAGCCACTAGGATAGATCCAGCCCTCCAGGAGTGGTTTTTGAGGATGCTTTCCCCCAAGCTTTGATCTCTTCTTGATCACTTCCTTAAGCTGACATCTTTGCATGGTCCCCTCGGTAGATGCAATTTCCTCTCCATGTTGACCACAACTGCAGGGTTTTCCTAATGTCAGACCTACTTCAATCTGATCCCTTAGAAAAGAAAGGCCTTTGATTCCATTTGGTTGAAACAAAAAGTTCTTTTTACTAAAAGATGTTGGCTGCAATAATGTCAGGTGAGCTCTGGGTTTCCTATGCTCAAAAGATACAGAAAGGTTTCCCCTCATCCTAGCCCTTCCTCTGTGACCAGTCTGTCTTCAGCTAATCAGAACTCAAAGTCAAAGTGTTTTGAGAATGCTGAGATGTTTTGGTGTAATTCACATTCTTTCTCAGGGTACCAGGCCTTGGATGGTGGTACAAACTGTCTCCAAGCTTCTCTGGTCTTTATCACCTGTCATTCCCCGCTCCCTATTTCCCATCACATAGACAACTTTATTGCCCATTTATCCTCTCCCCTTTTAGCCTTTGATGGCAGGATGCTTGTGATGTGCCAAGCGGAGCTTGACTATTAGGAACTGCTCCATTCTAAGCCTCATTCCTCTCAATCACATAATGTAAAAAGAGCACTTCAGTTTTCCATGTATTTTCCAAGTCATACACTTATGCAAAGATATAGCTATTGCTAGTAAAAGGGCATGGAAATAATTCAAAAAGATACATTCAATGTGCTTCATTTATTTTATTTTTATCATATGTTAGAAGTCAGTAAATGCTGGTATAAAATACTGCTAGGATAAGTCATATTTTTGTGTTTTTAAAATAGATTTTGTAATTTCCAGATGGGTAGGTCAATCCTGGGATATACATAGAAATTGTATACGGAATAGCAAAACTGTATAGAACTCTGTTACATTCATAATAATCCTCTGACTGTATTTTAAGATCATTTGCACTTACAACTATTGCCTAAAATTGTGAAAATTTATGTTATCATTGTAGCAACAAGAAAAATTAATATAGTCAGAGATCCAAAACACATATAATAAGGGAACTGTAAATTAATCACTTACAACTAAATGAGCTCTCATTGGCAGTTTATGTAAAAGAATCCAAACTTTAAAAGACAGTTTTAGCATTGGAATAAAAAAATGCATTCAAATAATATAAATTAAATAGAAGTTTTTGTATTATGAATTTTCTTTGGAGAGACATTGTTGTGAAACATATTTGTGTTTTCGTGGATTAAAATAAATTGAATAAACTTTAGAAAAATATATATTATAGCCTATCTGAAAATTGTATGTCTTACTGTCTTATTGTTAAGAAATGTTATGGAGGCTACAGAAAATGTCTTTTGCTTTTAAATTGGGTATATTTGATTTAAGTGGGTCTAACATT